AACCTTCCGAGACTTTACGGCTTGCCAAAAATCCAGAAGGCTGACATCCCGCTTCGTCCTATTCTGTCAATGGTTAACTCCCCCTGCCACGCAGTTGCCCAGTGGCTTGTAGGAATTGTTGAGCCGGTGAGACAACAGCTTGTAACTTACAGCCTGCGTGACTGTTTTCAGGTCGTCGAGAGCATCAAGGAGACAAAAATTAATTAGAAAGTGATACTCTCCTTTGATGTTATCTCGCTTTTCACTAACGTCCTGCTGATCGAAACCATAGATTACATTTGCGAGCAGATAATGAAGTTGGAAATTAAGATTTGTATACCTGTGCTTGAGTTGAAAAACTTATTACTGCTGTGCACATGGAATGTGCGATTTCTATTTAATGGTACATTTTACCGGCAAAAGGATAGTGTAGCCATGGGATCCCCCCTCGGTTCTTTGTTCGCAGATATATTTATGGCCAAATTGGAGCGAACGAAATTGCAAGCGGAGATAAAATCTTTTGACTACTACCACCGTTATATGGATGATATATGTATAGTGGCGGATAAATGCATAAATCTGGATGAGGTTCTCGATCGGTTTACCCGGGCTCACGCAGCACTGAAATTTACCTACGAGGCAGAAATTTGCAATCGGCTTCCGTATCTAGATGTCTTGTTAACTAGGAGGCCAGACGGCTCCATCCAGCGGAAAGTCTATAGAAAATATAGGTGGATTGGTCAGTACACGAATTTTCACAGTTTCGTCCCGCTGAGATATAAGCGAAACTTAATCCACTGCCTTACCACAAGAGCACGTAGAATTTGTTCACAGGACACCCTGGATAAGGAACTAGCCTTTATAAAGAATACGCTGCGCGAGAATGGCTACCCTGTTAGACTTGTTGCAAAGAATTTTGAAGAGAAGCCCAAGCTGGTACCAGTTTTAACCGCGGCGAAGAAGGAGTTATTTTTAAGATTACCTTTTAAGGGGGATGCCGCTGTCGAGTGCCTAACCAAAAGTCTTTCAGCGGCAGTCAAGTCGACATTCTCAGCAGCCAGGTTAAAGTGTACATTTTCTACTGAACCACTTGTTTGTTTAGGCAATAAGGATATGCTGCCATTGCTGATTCCATCTATGGTTATTTATCAGTTCAAGCGCGCTTGTGACGCTACTTATATTGGTTGAACGGTACTGCACTTGTCCAAACGCGTGAAGGAGCACTGCCCGCACTGGTTGCGTCAAGGAGGAACTGGGGTCATTAGCAGTGCCATTTTGGCCCATACTGTCAACACGGGACACCAAGTTGATCTAAAGCCTGCCTTCAGGATGATTTATAGGGTCCCTCAGCATCCATCAAAAGGTTTGCGCTTCCGTGCGCTCGCGACAGCTGAATCGATTTGCATTCAGTTGTTTCAACCTTCATTATGCTCGCAAAAGAAGTTACTCCATGTCTTACAGCTTCCCTGGCCAGCTAGAACGAACGATGCTGGGGTCGACTGTCACAGATCAAGCTCGGTACCATGCAATTGACCAGTCGGGTCAAAGGTCAACTTTTAGCATCCCTCACTGAACCGTTAATTAACTATGTAATTTGAGTCAATGAGTCGATTTCAGTTCCTTATTTTACCCTTAAATATGATTGTAATGATCTGAAGAGAAGCATGGAAAACAATTGTTTACCTATGGTCTCGTGTTCTTTAAATTCGAGATGGATGCTGGAATTGTTGTGCAAATAACCGCTGGCTTAATATGCGCAACCCGGTTTGAGACAACAGCCCAGCTGGTCTGTATGCAAACGGTAGGGTCGGTGTAAGTACAGATTCGTCTTCTTCATTTACTCTGCGTCCAGTGGGAATGGTCGAAGGTTTAAGTTGCCGACGTTCTTATGACAATTCAGAACTGCTCGCAGGGTGGACGAGGCCCTGACCGTATTTATTCCAATTGGACTGGCAGTGAATGTTTCAGGTGTATTTGGGAAGCTCGTGGTATTGGCGTCTAAAGCAACAAGTGACTCATTTATAACGCGCTGCCCAGCCTTCTTCCTCAGTTTAGATGGAGTGCCTAATAGGAATGGCTTGGGTTTGTTCTCTGTTGCGCTTTCTTCGAATGAACCAATTTTTTGTTCCTCATTTGTTCAACCACTTCCACCAGCCTCATTTTTCTGCGATAGTTCATGTACAATGTTTGCCAGTGGGATTACCATACAAACTTCACAGAACTACAATGAATTTGGTTTGTTAGTTTGTATCTTCAACTGTTTTACTGTGAGCTTGGAAGACTTAGAATGTAACATGCCAAGTCAATCGGAACACTGGCTTCCATTTCGTACTTTTATATGGCATGAAGGAAAGCCACATACCACTGTCGATCTGGATGCACTAACATGGCTGTTGATTGCGTGTTACAATCCATTTCCTCGATCCATACCATTCCGATGAATGCCTGAACGCTTCTGGGTACCTGCGTGTCGCGTTCTTGTGTCGTTCTTTTGGGACCCTAATCGCTGATGTGTTTGTGAAGCTCTTCTCAGCGTTTGTGCGACCCCACCTAGAATATTGCGTCCAGGCCTGTCCACCATGCCTTGTCCGGGACAAAATGGCACTAGAAAGGGTGTTGCGTGTCGGTACTAGGTTGGTCAAGGGATTACGAGGGCAAACGTACCCCGAACGCCTACTTAGTTTGGGAATGCAGTCAATGCACCATCGAAGAATTAGAGGGGACCTAATCCTAACCTACCGTATTTTGACTGGGAAGGTTGGCCCTGATTTGTCCATGCTATTTAGTGCTGCTAGATTATCTGGTCTCCGCGGGCATTGTGTGAAGCTGGACAAACCGCGGTCCGATCGAGTTATAGCGGAGACACGCTTGTCGCGTCGAGTCATCGAGCGCTGGAACCTGCTTCCAGAAAATGTTGTCAAAGAAGCTACGGTTAAGGGGTTTGAGCGTCAACTAGATGCTCTTGGGTGGCAACACGATTTTTTTTTTTTTTTCCTGTTTTTTATCCCTCTTCTCTTTTTAGAGAGGTAATGTTTGTTTTCCCCCGGGTCTCCCAATGTGAATTTGCTGCATGTTCAAGGTCGTCACATTCGCTGCATCTAGCCATGACGTGGCAGGTTAAAGCGCCTAGATCGTTTAGCTGCTAAACTACGCGACTGAGCGATACGGACACAAAGTGTACGGTAGCTACGTTAATTAACGGTCGACATCTCGTCGGATAAAACGCGGAGTTGGTTTTCTTTTGAAACCACAAAGTTTGCTGTGTGGTTCGTGATTCAGGAGATTCCTCGTTTGTGTTTCTGTGGGGACGGCGCGAAAGTCGCGATATGAAGATAAAAAGTGATCCACGCCAGCTAGATCCGAGAGATGGTATGTACTAGATAGCGCTGATGTAGCTGGATTAAATGAGTGAAAACGCACATGAGTGACAAAATGCAGCTGAAAAATAGCGGAGAAAACAAAGTGTGCACCAATGCGCGATTAGCACACCCGTTCGTTCAAGGTCAGGACTTGCTTAGCGACTAAATAGATGATTATTTGTTCTCTTTCAGTATTTTGTACCTATGTTAACAGCAGAGTTCATTGCGAGAGTGAGTCATACTACCTGGAACTTCTCTTCCCTTGAAAAGCTATGATGCATAAAGATTACCGGCTACCGCCAGGCCTATTCTCGGTAGTAAGGAGGAAAGTAAGCTCACATAAACTTATGCACTCATCGCCTGTTATTCCGACGTGCTTCTATGGACAGTGTCAACTATTTGATGGTATTCACACCGAATTCGTACTTTTCCATCGGTACTATTTTCCAATATCCGCTTCAGTGTCAACGCAATTCATGCATTTGTGAGCATTATGTTCTCCGATCTGGGCAGTTTTGTTGCAGACGTTTCGTTGCTAAGGTAGGCAACATCCTCAGTGCCGCTATCAGAGTATGGTTCGCAGCCTAGTAAGCCACTGCCAGATTATGCATTTGTTTTACGTGTAGTAAAGTAACTTAATAAGCGCCGCAAAATAAGGTGCGTGGAAACGATGATGGTGAGTGAATGGTAAGCACGTACTGCGCACAGCATTCGTGTGGCCATTAAAATCTACTGCATGACCACTACTTTGCGGTAAGTAGCAACCACCACCGGACTTAGTGTCTACTCCCCATCTTACGTAAACGGTGACAAGCATGCGTTTTCAGAAAATACGGAAAAACGCCTACAACTGGCTCAGGTACCATTTGAGTTCAAGCATGTTGGTATTTATTAAATTAGTTCAAATATGCAAACGAGTATGTTGAAAATAGGCACAGAACGAAAACAGTTCACTAGTTGTGTGCTGAGTAAGTTGTTTCAGGATCTCTATGAATTCCAGTGCGAGTGTGCAACCCAACTTTACACCTTACCCGAGTCCGGAGTTGAGCCCCAGAGTTGTATACATTATACATGACAAGAGCAGAGTAACGGCTAAAAGCTGATTAGTAGAAATTTAAGTAGCTTCACTGCCGGGTGTTTGGGTACCCACAGTGCATTTCTTGCGGTAGGCAACCCGGAATTTGAGTGCGTTTTGCTTTGGGGACAGCTTACCCCAACCCAACCATTGAAAATATATCCGAAGTAGGGAAGGTTGCGGTACCTCCCGCTGCCTGATGCGTCCCCTACGCTAAGTTTCCTTCTTGTTTAGGTCATGCACAACTAGATGGTAGAAGTCGGAAAATCACATTCGAAAGGTCGTGTTTTTTTTTGGTTAATGCCCCCATTAATATAGCACCAAGCTCTGTTGTCAACGCCTATCAATTGGATTGGTTACAGTATTCTGACTGTATCTTTGGATTGCGATATACCACTTGCATTTAGAGCAACTGAAGGGAGTGTTTGCGAACTTCTCAGGTCCTATCCTAATGGTATCAAAGATTTCCTGCAGCTAAGTGAAACGAGGCAAAGGATAACTTCCACTACATTACATGAAAGCCAAGCGATCTCTTGAACAACAGGCTACAGCAAAACATGTGGGCATGGTCCTCTAACTGTACTCACCTTATCGAATAGACGTATGTACAGTGAAAAGCCAAAGCGATCTTGTAGGTTTAATTGCTCAGCAACTACGTGGCAAACCTCTGCAGCGGTGGTGGCGGTATCTGCTTGTACTGGGTAACTCTGACCATCCATACAGACAACAGAGAGTGTTAGACTTCCTTTCAGTCTCGTCACCTTCATTTCGGTCAAGCCTGGCGGCTGCGTACGAGCTCCATTTTGGCAAGTCCGGGCTAGCCGTTGGCGACAAAGAGGGGCGAAATTTGAAACGCCTGCCTCGAGAAATTGTTGTAATGGGTGCAATAATCGCTCCGACGGTGGGAATATGCCGGTGCACAGTGCAAGTAAGAACCAGGCTTGGGGAGGAAATTGTTGAATGATATGTATCAGTGCATCCAAGAAATATAGACATTAGATGGATGTAGGTGACTGTATACCATGCTTGCCTTCTATAACGCACGAATTACCCGCCACATAGGGCATTAAAAGTGGATCAAATCAATTATACTGGAAAGTCATACTTAAGATCATATAGGGGAGGACTGAGGAGAAGCTCAAAGGTTATATATATATATATATATATATATATATATATATATATATGTTGATTTCAGGTGTTGGGAAGCGATAGCAGTGGATTGGCGCGAATGGCGAAAGCATATCAAGAGAGCGGTTATCCAGGTGCAGTAGAAGGCATTATTGTACGCGGAAGAGGACTGCGGTGTACGAAAGCGACTGGCCCCATCGAGGTCAAGCACATGCTGCTGTAGCACCTGCGATGGTAATTGTCGGAGCCAAGCGGGCCCGGTAAGCCACTAGTTGGGCCACGCCGGGCTAGCATCCAAAAGACGACGAGTCAGCTTATTATCTACTCAGCATCAGTTCAGTGTCCGTAAGTGTGCTAGATCTGCTTCCTTTCGATTTACTAACCCAGGCCAATATGGCTGTTGATGTGGCACGTGTGCTGCATCATCGTTGATGTTGGTCTATGAGTGTGGTTGTGTTCTAAATTTCTTGCATTTCAGATGTTGGCTGTTGATTTATATCCTTGTTGTCTTTGTGTTTGAGTCGAATGTTGATGAGGTGTTTACTCTATTACCCACCACTTCATGGTATGCTGGCACTAGGAGACTATGAAACGTTTTGCGGACAGGGTGCACCGTTTCAGTGACCTTACTAGGCTCGAAGGGTGGTTCCATGCATCCAGTGTGAAGCGGTCTAGGGCCCAATCACCGCCTCGTGTACGCCTGGTACACATGATTCCCCAACCCGAATTACTGGAATGTTGCTGTTGTGCATGTTGGAGGAGGGTAAACCGGCTCTGTTGATAAAAAAACGTGGCTCCCATTCGCTTGTCTCCCGGTCTTATTCTTTCGGGTTTACACTGGATTTGGGGTGTGTGGATGGAGCCGTAGATGGTGCAGCGCAAGTCACCCATGGTCCTCTATATGTGCACGCGTCCTGTGACTGTCCCATGTAGGTCGCAATGATATGCAGATCGGGAACCGGATTCCGCCAACCATGTATGAGGCTATGGGTTCGATATCGCCAAGGCGGATAGCCATTGCGTTTTCCATTATCTATGGAATTAACATCAAATTTGCGCGGATTCACGGTAGGTGAGCAATACATAGATTTACGCGTATAAGTACAATTTGGTCAGCACCTATTTGCCATCAGTGCCACACTCAGCTCCACGCAGTACACGTGTCATGCACAATTTGGATATTTCATGCTGGCGTACACATTTCAAATTGTGTACGCGCTCGTCAAGCTGTGAGTGGCACCCAGTGAGAGCAGCTGGTTGCCGTTCCCATTGGCTGTGCCAATACCATGAGGACCGGTTACGTTTGGCTACACCGGAGCATCACGCCCGACGCGCGCTTTAAAATCCCCCAGCATGAATAGTTGATGTGAACATGTTTCCCTATCTGGTTGGCCAAGTTGATACCCATTCAGCTAATGAGCTACTAAGGGGTTGAATTGTGTTGGGAAGTCCTGTTAACTCTGGTCTCTTGCAAGCAATTAGAACAGCAAACGCAAGTATTTCGGCAAAAGTCGGTTTTGGATCACTACTACGTCGGGATTAGTATCTAACCTATCTGACCTTTACCGGAACGTGTACCCAGACTAGATAAAAATCACTAGGTAGCCATCCGACCAGATTTAAAGGAAAATGAGAAAGAGAAGTGTCAACTAACGAGTGACAGGGAAGTATCGCAGACGTGAGGTGTGGGACGGTAACATTCCAATGTTTTGGAAAGTTTCCTTCAGACGATGTGACCGAGAGAAATTTCAGTTAAATATGACATTTAACTAATTCACTTAACCGTAGGAGTGCAACCGTCGCCATCGAGGTGGAGTTTAGGTGCTGTGTGTAAACTTGCTGACACATACCTCTTCTATGCAGCGAAGAAACATCATTCCATTTTTACATATTAAGCGACATCTCAAGGGCCTTCGACCAAATTGCGAGACCCTTCGAAATATCTTGTAGTCCGACTGGACAGGCTGTGGTCACTTGACTAAGTTCTAAGACAATGTTATATGCATAGTACAGTAGGGCTGCCTTTTCAGGGATCAGTGTCCAGCCAGTTTAAGTGGAAGATGATTGGTAACAGAATGGTCCCTGACTGGGGGCGAGGAGCTTCGGCCTCCAAGTCGTGTCGTCTGAGTGTGACCGATATGAGGACGTAGGAAGTATGTATTTCATTACCGAGTAGATCTTTTAAAGGCATTTCACAGTTCATGCGTTGCTGTAGTCGAGAACGCAAATTCTGGGCTTGGCGCAATTGCACAGGGACGACATAACCGAATGCACGACGCAGGCCGCTGCTTCTTGGACAGATCTCGAATTAGGGCAGGCGAATTACAAGGGATCATTAAGCAGTGGCTGCGCTTGCAGGTTATCAATAATGCTTATTGGAAAACATTATAAGCTGCTGAAATACAGGCAGTTGACCAGCCTTTGCTTGATTCTTTCCTTGGCACTGGTGTACTACTGACACTTCTCCAGCAATCAGAAATTTTAGGTCGCTACATACACATGTATACAAAACAGCGCGAGGTCCCTTTGATAAGTTGGCGGACCGCTTGAGGAAAACAGCAGTCTGTCCGGACCACTTGCTTTACCTGAGTGTAGCTGTTTCAGTAACTGGTGCATATTGTCACTGTGGACATTGGGCAATGGATCTTCAGACCATTTTAGCTAGGTAAAGTATGAGTGTGAGTTTAAATTATTGTAGCAGTTACAGCAGCCCCGGTACATTTTCTCCACATCTATGTCAGGGGCCGATGCACTTTGATTACTTCTGTTAAGTTGTTCCAGCATTTTTAGTGTTTGCGATAACTACTGTTTCCATTTGTGACCTAAGCTAAACTGAAGTGAAACAACCGGCTAATCCTTAAGTATCGTAGGTTGTTTACGAAAGAGAAATTTCAGATATAAGTTGGCTCACTTAACAGGAAAGCAAAATCCTAAAAGCGAGAAAATACTCCTCTACCAAGTCGTTATTATTCCTAATGTGAAAGGTATAGTTGAAAGTGGTGCGTTTTTCTTACAGTGCTTCTGTAGAAGCTATTTTCATTCTACTGGCGTGCCCACGGCAGCTGTGTTTTAACATTAGCTTTGTTACAAATACGGGCACACCAAAAACTTGTTGTTCACATGTACATCAGTCTGTCTACTTTAATGGGAACATAGCTGCGATGAAAAAGGAGCAGTTGTTCACCACGTATACGTTCGTCCGACAACGCTATGTACATTTTTTATCACAGTAGACCCTGTACGTAACGATAACTTCATTGCTGCGGCTAAACATCGGTCAGTAGAGAGCCCACATGCATCCAGTTTTCCGCGAAACATTCTGTCCTCAAACGCTGAGCAGAATGTATCGATCGTTCAAGTATCCCTAGTCTGCGCCTCATCGCTGAAGCGCCGTGCAAGTTGGGGTAGGCAGACGCTGCGCTTGCGTGCGTAGTGCATCGTGTGAGACCCGATTGTATCTCCGGTCTACCGTTAGAATTCCTCGGGGTTTTCTCAGGGCGTGCAATGTGCAACAGTGTAGTTGAAAATCGGTAGACACATCCCGGTCACACGATATGTGTCCCATGACAATCGCTGTAAACTCATCGTAAAGTGCCTCTACTTCGGGTTTGGGACTTTGAGGTGTCCACTCTGACCCATCGGCCTGCACCCCAAGAGTAAGCGGCTAATACACTGCAAAGAGAAGGAAGTTTCACTGACATGCATCCGAAAGAAATTCTGACAGGACTTCCTCGGTTTTGCACACGCAAGCATGGTCAAGGACAGTTAAACACTTAAGCCAATACGAGCGTATGGTCTCCATCTCCGTGTAGCCAGGTTTGTTGGAGCAAAATTATGCCTAGTGGCAAGTATTCTCGAGAAGTGATAATACCTCAGTCGGATACTGTCCTATTCATCGGAATGGCATATAACGACTTCAAAGTCAATTGAGCCACAATTGAGATTGTGTCGCAATGCAGCACAAACGGCGGGTACGCCAATACCCGACTATTAGCTTCTAACCGCTATGCTAAGCTGTGCTCGAGGAGCCAATTGGCCTAGTGATCATGGCGCTAGCCACCAAACATTATGCGCCGATTTCCACTCCCAACTCGGTTATCTGTACTTGATGAGTCTAAACTAAGACGAAACTGTCGGTCGCGGAGCGCAGGAATGGGGAGAGCCACAACAAAATCCTCCACTTCGGTGATGATACTCTGAATCATCCATTTTTGCAGTAGGGAGCAGGCGTTGACGGCAAGCAAACTGAGCCTGCTCGTGCTTCCCAAACATTTACCGAACAGAAAACTTTAACCATGCCAGCCGCTTTCGTGCACAAGTATTTCACTTCCAGTTAATTCCTTTCTCACCAATTAATTCGGCGCCGTCATTGGAAATGCACGTATATCAGGCGTGGAAAAACACAGCAATTTCAAAATATTGTGCGCGTAAATTCCACATTTAGTCGACTCAATTCATACTAAGCGCTAGGTACTCAGCTGGGTGCGTTCTTAGAATTTGACACTATTGACTACAACTGAACTAAAACAACACCATCAAACAAGCAAGATTTCATACGTAGAAAATCGGGAAGGTGCAGTTAGATATCATTTGAGCAACAATACTAGAGCATTGAGAAACTATAGCATATTGCTGTAGGAATTATCAGGGTTCTTGTCCGGTTGAGAAGACAGTTTTACTGGAGCGTTTCTTGACAAATGGCTTCATGTTGTCAATGGTAGTAAATTGCAACTAATGCGCAGTATCTCGGTGCATATTTCAAAATTTTATGAAGGTAGATGGCCTCAGTGATTTCTGTATATTTCAGTCAACGAATATGTCAAACTATTCCTAACAATTGATATATTTACAGTTGTTTTACCAAAAACGGCAACGGTAAATTTAAAGGCCTTGCTGTTATACTAATTACATACGGAGGAATAACAAGTATAAGCATGATCGTTTCAATAGTAATAAAGCGTGTGTGTTCGTTATTTCACGGAAAGCAATCGTGGTATGGCTATATTTGAAGCTTCCGTCAGTGATATGCATATTTTAGATCTAATCAGTCCATTGAAAATTGCTAGTATGCACACAAAATACGCAGTATGCACATAACGGGACTACTGGTGCATTATTAGACGTCCTATCGTTCGAGCTACAGCAGCGCATTGACCATGGGCACGTTGGGCATGTTGAAGGTTGTGTTCACAGGGCAAATGGCGCTCTAGGCTTGCATCTGAGGTGCAAATAAGCTAAGTAGCACACCTAGAGGCCAATGAGAGGCTGTTAAACATTGTAGCTCTTACAGGTGAAATTTAAGTTTGGGATATGATATGACATTTGTTAGAGAAGATTCCGACAGAACGCACACAAGAAAGTCCAAGAGCAAAGCACAACGAAAATCAAATATTTCGGAACAGGACATACCGCGAACTTCGCTTCTTCGACTAGGATTACGAAGGATCTGTTTGCAAATTTGACAGTAGACCTCATCACGCAGAGTGGCACGAAATATGGCATGTCCGATGATGAAGTGGACTTTGTACATAGTTGAGGCCATATTTTCGGCAAGAAGGCGGTCTGATTCCTTTGTATGCGCAGCAATCCAGTGGTTTTGGCAATTTTCAACATCTAGGTGACTTAGATCACTGGCAGTGAGCCCAACACATGCTCGTTTAGCAATCGTTCGACCAGGTTCATTCCTACGAAGACCGGTCTAAAATTACATGAACCAGTGGCAACGACTCAGTAGAAAGTACTAGAAAACAAGTGGGTTATATTAATTTCCACTATACACACAGCATCCCCTTCTATTCGGAGGTTGGCTTCTTTGAAAATCACCAGCGGTAATATCAAATGCTCAGTTAAATAAACATGTTTGGTATTCCGGATCCGGCAGCTTTAAAAAGCTACCATTATATCGGGTATATGAACCAATACCGTTTAAAAATAACAGTTGGAATGTTAACTGAGTAGGTGGATTTTATTCCAATACTCGAGAAGCCTGCTTGTGCGGTGAGCATGTTACCTTGGTGCGTGCAAGTGACCCTAGATGCATTAACCAGGTTACAAAGGGAAGGAGTCATGTTCATTCAGGTACGAGTAACTTCTACTCGGTTCATTTCCTCTCCTCCAAAGAGTACATGTTAAGCACTTTGTGATAAGGTTTCACTTACAATGGACGGAAACCAAAACAATAGTATTCCGAATGTGTGGAAAGCTTTGTATTTTACTGAACCAGCAAAAACCAGCGGTATGATGTCTACCGAATCCCAGTTTTTTAACCCATAATATAAACTGGGGGAATATGTAGGCACAAGTGGAGCGCTACTTCTGTGGAATCACATGAAACTGAAATAGATCGTCGTCTTACGCAGCTCGTACGTTCAAGCGCGGACGGTATGTTACAGTACGAAATGAATTAACAAAAACTGGACTGGTTAAAATGAGGTGCTATTTGATATACCTGAGAAGGAATAGGGAAACAAATCCACGGATGTGTAGAGTAAGCAAAACCATCAGGCATATATTTATTTGTTAATTATTTATTTGCCATTCTCCCAGTGTTTTAGGAAGGTTTCATGGAGAACCAGGTGTTCCCATCGATGGTACCCATGTCTCGCAATTGAAGGGGGGTAAACTTAATTAACCAGACCAGTAATCGTCTTGGTTTGCTGATGTTGGTTGGAACAAAGAGTGACACTTGTGAAGGACAGTAGTCTTGAGTGGATTTTAAAAACACAGCCATACTACCCCCAATATTCCGATTTTAATCGAAGCAGTTAATTTTAGTCGCGATTTGGTAACTTACACAAGAATACGCTAAAGTACCTCAGCTGACTTGGGCTGTCATCAGTCACATCCCCAGTTTTGTTTCCCCAAGTTTGTAGTATGTGACCTGAATATCGGTGGCGCACATGCACTGGAATGGACACACTAGCGTTGGTGGTGTAAAAATAAGGCGGAACCATACTCGTTGTGAAGTGAGCCTAAGTCAAACAACCAGCAGGGGAAATACGAACATAAAGCCGATCAACAAGCGATTACTTTGGTAGACCAACCATGTCTGCAGTGGAGTGACAACGGTAGTCATAACTTTCAACGTTGAGCTGGGATTCGACGGTGGTGTACAACTCCTTCAAAACCGACTTATGATCCCCGGCACAATGGCGATGCTTGCTGTCCAAGTCGTCAGCGGGCTCTGGCAACACTTGTATAAAGCGAAGCATCATTATCCAAATAGCCAGAGAAGCCTGTAAAGAGAACACAAAGAACCTGTTGTTCTTTAAAACGCACTGTTAGCAACATTTTTGCTATATGTTTATGCACACTTGTAAGCATTAACATTGCTACCGTTACTGTCCTCCTTTTTAGCTATCGCTATCTACCAGTAATACACCCAACAACAACTTACGTTCCTGCTTCGAATCTACTGAAACTGGGATGCTACGGTGACCTGACAACACTGTGCGCACCGAGCTTGGGCAAAGCTTTTCAAGATGCATGATAAACTTACCTTGGCCACAAACTTGAGACTTCGTGTAGCAACGAGGTGCACAATGTGATCTGTGGCGAATGTGGCTGGTTAGCCGAACAACCTCCACGTGGTGCCAGCTGCGTTTAATCGACGGCGGGGCCTTTAAATCGGCCCTTGCCTTTTCGCCGAACATGGTATTTTACATTATGTATCTTAGTTTTGCAAACTTAAACTGACAGATATTTTGTTCAATCAACTTCCAAGGTAACTGAGACCATCTACTCCATCCACCTTGGATATAAAAGCGAGATATCGCACACGAGCCCCTTCCTACTGGCATTGGATAAAACATTTTGCATCAATTGAAGCGAATTCTGAAGAGAAATTTTAATGAAAGCTTTTCCGTATTGAATGGATATAAATCCCAAAGATTTGCTTCAGATTTTTGGGTTAGTTGCATGAGCGATCTGGAACAGTGCAGCCTTCTCATTTTTCGACCCATATGGAAACTTAGCACTTTTACTGGTAAGTCTGGTAAATTTACAGTTGATAATGTAAAATGCTGAAAATGCACCCATTTGAGTACATAAAGGTTATATTTTGACTTGATTTGGGTGATTCGGGTTAACCCCGCTCCAGCTAATAATAGTTCAGCGGCAGTGTTGCATGACGTAATGGGTTTTCGCCTAGCAAGCGTTCTCTATATAAAAAGTCACATATGTCTGCTAAACAACACTGTGACGTGGAGGATATGACTTGCGCTTGTCATATCGGAGGATCTTATTCATTTTGCGAACGTCAAGCACTTCAAAGATTTCACCTGATCCATTCCTGTATTGGCGAATTCGCCGAACATGCTCACAAATTCACAGTAATAGTAACAAATTCACTCAAGTTGATGACTTACACATGAACCCACATACTTACTACACATAGATACACACTTGCAACATTTCTGAGGTTACACGTTTGTATTATCATGATCGTGCCTTTTAAGGCGTGCCTCGCACCGTCGAGAATAAATCATTTATTTGTTTATTTACATTGAGTGGGATTTCCTTACACCATTGTCACAGTCCGAAACTAAACAGGCTGTACGTTTAGTGGCAACCATGGTAACTAACTCAAAAGCAATCTCGGCTGCCTCCACACGCTAAACGTTACGATCAGATTCGACAGAACAGTGCACTACAACACGGTAGGGAGTAGGACCGAGTCAGGTTATGGAAAAGCAATATGAGTCCGTACGAAAATGACAACAAATCGATGGACGCAATGGAAGATAAATTATGGTGATTAAATTTAAAACGGAGACTAAGGCACTTAGGCCATTTAAGCAAATTTGCAGTTTCAAATATCATAATGACACCGTGTGGATTAAGATTTTTGACCGCGGTGCGCTGAGAAGAAGTATATCAGACAGCCCCGAGAGGACATGTTAGGCAATAAACAGTGGAGCTACGGCTGATGCAGCACCTAGACTTCTGAGAAGGAGAGTTAGATGGCAGAGCTTAGATCCTGACACAACAAGCGCAATGTTCAAGTTAACAATTCTTAGTAATTCGGTTTATTATTAATCTGATAAGCACGATAAGAAGACGAAAGCTGGTATATGAATGCATTTCGTTTTCCTCCTCAGTACCCTTAATAATAACCGGTGTGCAACTATATACTTAACTGTGGGTGTGACCAACTGAGCATGAGGTGCGAAATGATTGACGGAAGTTCCACCCCTATGTCCACGGCAGCCTTAAGTTGACAAATAATTGCTTTTGAACACACAGAACCGGCTTCATGCTGACTATCGCAACGGCCTCGGCGAAACGCTGATCCAAGCTCTATCCGGTGACACTTGTTTACCTACACTTGTTTACCTACTGAGGAAGCTGGCGGCCTGCGCAAGAACGGAACTTCAGAGGGACAGGGATGCTGGTCAATTTCATGTTGGACCCACCTTGGCACGTGTTCCTTTATTCGGGAAGTCAAAGAGCGGTTGGTTCTGCACAGGCCGCCAGATTGCTCAATAGATAAACACGTACTGACTACGCATCACCGGATAGAGCTTGGCTCACGGCGTTCACACTTGTGTTACGTCACCCTAACCCCTGCTTCCTCCGTTTCGCCGAGGCCGTCTCGATAATTCGGATGAAACCGTCCCTATGTGGTTAAAAGCAATTATTTTTCAGCTTAAGACTGCCATGGACATAGGAGGTGGAATTTCCGTCATTCATTTTGCACCTCATGCTTATTTGGTCACACCCACAGTTAAGTATATAGTTGCACACCGGTTATTGTTGATGGTACTGAGGAGGAAAAACGAAATGCATGCTTCTATCCGCTTTCTTCTTCTTACCGTGCTTTTCAAATTTCTGAAGAGAACTAATGACTATTATTACTCGGTTAATTGGGACTCCCTTGGTCAGTCGCACTAGCACTGCAACGAAAACAGAGGCGAAGCAGAGGCGCATGCGAACAGATCGCACAACAATCGTGCGGTAAAGATATTCCCATGAGTGGTTAACAGGCGCTTTTAGCTAATAATAGCTAGTGGGGAGGGCTAAGTGTGCCTCCGAAAATGGATTTGTTGTGAATAGCGGACAGGTGCAAATGTACTGGAATTGGCTGTGTGCACTTGTAACTCGCGGAAGGCTGCGTGGAATAATGACAAGTAAAGATGCTCTGTTTTACCGGACACAATAGACGAACTGATCCCACACCTAAGCCTAGCAATGTTTAAGATTGACAGGTTGACGTATGCATTACATATACGTTATAGGAAATGAATACAGATAGTATCGTTTGAGGAACGACGAAGTGCTTGTCTGACGCACCAAGTCATCGTTTTCATCCGCGTGGGGCAACAACGGTTTTGTAAGGTGACGGCTTGAGTAATACGGCGTCGCACCTCCCTGAAAGTAAGTCTGAGCAAAGCGAATAAATGCGTTGACTCCACTCTGAGGATCATGAACGTGTGACACGGGACTAGGGCTGATAAATTCAACGGAGCTTTCTTGCGGTTTACTGGTGTCAGAGACAGCAAAAACGAGTGGCCTGACCACTTCAGACTTCTCCAGCTGAGTATCACCGGCGTTACTTTTCTCAGTTATCCAGATAATGTTTGAACTGTTTGCGTACGGGTCCGTTGAGCCATTCGACTGTATCTGCACAGTTGATGGTGACAATCTTGTCGGTGATCTGGTGCTCCCAAGCGTTGCCGTGCATCCTGCCTCAAAGCATAACCCATCGGTACCAAACTCGTTCTCCAGAACAATGTTGAACACGTCAGCATCCTAAAAGAATTCCAATAACACACGGCACGCAGATAACTCCTTTACCTATAACTGTCAAATTTCATTTACAAAAAGCTGAAACAAATAGGTCTACCTGACCTATACAACTCACAATCAAGTCAGCATTTAAGCAGCTCTCGTGTTGGGACATCATTAAAATCGACATGCGCATTTTGTTTCATTTGTTGGATGTCAACAGTAAGGTTTTGAAACATTCACCTTGCTTCGGTCAATAGGATTTTCTGAATAGCCACGGGCTTAGCCACTACTAGGTTTAAGCCACTCTATTGGTTCAAGCGCATATCCATAGTAAAAGAGCGAATTGCTAAGAGTGTCAGTGAGGTGCGAGCTGCTAAATGAATACAGCCACTAATTGAGATATCAAGTTAGGTAAACTGTGTGTGCAAAATTTATTAATTTTTGCCATGAGACGACAGTGATTACAATGGCACTGGGCTGAGATAAATGTTTTCTGCTTCGTCGTTAACCAATTATTGATCTGAAGCTAACAAACAAATAATAGTGCAGTACTTTACAAACAATTAGATCTTCGCTGTTGTGGGAGCAGCTTAGGTTGTGGACGAAAGTATCCAAATAGGAACCGGCGGATTGGATGCAGTCAATTTCCGTCAACCCAACTCAACCACAAGTGTGTAGGTGGGATAGATAAAGTTGAAGTAGCGCTACTAAGCATAACTAAAACACAGCATGTTTCCAGATAAGGGGCGTGAGTTGTTCTGGAAGCCAGCGAGCGCAAAGCGGGTGCGCACCAACGAAGCCAGGCAGACGGCAAAAGATGGACAGTGGCTGGTCAACAAGAGTCGCGTTGGCAGTGTTCCAATCAAGTATACACCCAAGTAAGTTTACTGTGATTGCACGCGTCGGATTGGCAAAACCAAATCAGTGAAGTCCAGCTTGAATCAAGCACAGCGTACTGCTATACAAGTGGGTGTTGGACTGAACCCAGCGAAACAGATCAAATTTCCAACTGTCATAGGTTTATATTCGTTGAGTTGCACAATGTAGGAGTTCACATCGATCCCAAACATAGTCAACTGTCGGCGGCTTCTTCATATCGATTGTGCGTTTTCAGTTCACCTTTAGTGGGCCACGTATGCAATCGCTTGTTATTGTTCGGGGCAACCGGTTTTAGCTTTCCGTAGAGGATTTCTTACCTGCTCACATCATGCTGAACAAATATTGAGTGTGGTAAATTCACTGGGTTCTCGGCAAAAGCGTGGCCAATGCCTGATTTTGCCCGTGTCCATGAGCACGACGCAATACCAGTCAACCAGAGTTACTAACAGTTATCATGGAATAGACTGGTGTTGACACCTTCTGCCTCAAAGCAAGAGACGGTCATGAGAAGCACCGTTGATTCCAGGAAAGGTACAGCATTCACAATGGTAGAGCACAAGTAGGGAAACCGCTGGGTTTACTGGAGGAAGGACAGTAAGACAGTGTTCTCTTTGCAGCAGTCTCAGCAAGTGAACTTGATCCAGATGCCTAATGGTCTATGTACACAACCCTGTTGGTCTGTTTTCTGGCTTTGCTTGAATGAGGTATAAAGTGAGATGCACAGGTTTTTGTTCTAGACACATAAAATGGATGGATCGAATTGCAGTCTACTAAACTTCGTACAGAGGATGTCACGCGCCGTTTCGATCACATCTCTCTAGCTTACCTTAGCCTAGACCAAAGATGTCCAAAGACAGACCAGCGGGCAAAATGCCGTCGGCGTTGACATTTCAACGTGCCCGCGGCCGCATCATGAAACAATAAATCTGGGTTTGGACGTTTTTCGTGCATGTGCAATTGTTGTTATTATTTTAATGTCAGTGAATATGGCTCGACATATTTTTACGTTACAAAATGTAGCCCAGCGTACAAAAAGTTTGAGCACCCTTGACCTAGCCTATATCGTCTACTGAGTCCACCATACCGAAGGATGAAAACGGTTAGGAACCACACGATTTACCGTTAGTCGATACACAAGAAGCTGCTATCAAAAACGCACTACAAGTTCTTACCTTTATGATCTTTAGGACTGCGTATCAGACAAAAAATGGGTTTATGGCTTAAACACCTTCCTATATGTATATATTTAGTCCGTTTGGAATAACTGTTTAGTCCAAACTAGAAAGACAAGGAGGTCTAATCGACCACGAGAATGAGTATGCTACGTATGGTCAATGTAGTAGAGATAGCACATCATAGCTATTTTTGAGTTAGCGGTATATCATAGACTCACCGTGACGGGATCATCTAACGCTTGGAACTGCCGATATTCTGCTCTTCGAAAACGTACGGTTACAAGGTCATCCTGCGAGTCAGTGTCCATGCATAAAGTTGTCAGCTGTTCATCGCCACATGATGTTTTCTGCATATAAAACGCAAAACGCTATAGCTATTAATGCGATCTAAACGATTTAATAGAGCTGGCTAAAACATAAATTTCAGCAAACCTTGGAGAGCTTCTGCAAATTTCAGCATGCTGTGCAGTAGATTGTCCTTACATTTACTTAACTCAGAAAGTGGCATTTTCGGATTTGTCGGAGATAAGATTATGAAATTAACCGGAAATAAGATTTTAATCAGTTGACTTTACTGAAATCTCCAGTGATCGATCGCCGTCGTGTTCAGAGTAGTTTGCAACTGTACCATAAAAAAGCCCAGTTAGCTAAGAACCCGGAGAAGCCGCAGGTGTTATTGCCACAAATTCACAAGAATTACCTCGTATTCTAGCTCCTTTCGTTGTTTCATCTTTCGATAAGCTCTTTGAATTGTGACGGCCGCTGTCCACCGGATTGCAGTGTTACGCCTTGCCAGATGACCCCTCGCACGGGCTTGTAGTTGGACGATGATGTGCTGAATACGGCGAAACTGAGGTTGCTTTTGTTCAACGTGAACCATAGCCTGAAGTTGTAAAATACCTTTTCGAATCTGCGAAAGTTGTAAGGATGATACAAAGCATTGGGAAACGTTTTAGTCCATCGTACGAGTCACCAATGCAGCTGTAGTATGCGTCACGTCCTTAGTAACCTAATTGACGATTAAGCATGACGTTTCCATTTTCCATAGCTAAAAATAAGAGCTGACAGTTGGGACTGTCTGTAGTGACTGCGAAATCACACCGAGACGATATGTAGATAAATCTTTGAAGTCTGTCCTTCACATGTGTACATAACTGTCAGCTGTGACCTGGATTTCAAGATCCCTGATACTATAAAGGAAAAACACAAACACACAAAAGTACCCAAATGGCCTGAAGATATGGCAGAAGTAAAACACTATAAACACTAATATTGCACTCCTTCGGAAAGGTTATCGCAACCACCTGTAGTCAAGCTGCATTTGGCGTCATTCTTAGTTCTAGTGATAAATCCTCTCTGGTTGGTCGGATTCTCACGAACATCCAACTGTTTGTTTCTACATAGCATCGACCTAGGTGCGAATAATTTGTGTTCCACGCTTGCGACTCAACCGATTCCGGGCTTGTGGTTGCCAAAGCCGCTTACATCACAAACTTAGCAAATAGTTGCGCAGTGCCACGAGATAAGCCACAGTTCGGTCTGCCAAGATACGGACGTGCAAATACTTCTTTTGAACTTTTCATATTATGCGAACATTGGCCAACTTTCGCTTCTTAATGTTCGCTCCCATTTAGCCCTACCTTGGGTCACAGAGGTTTCCGATGTGACACCAGGTGCCTTCTGGTAGCTGGCTAGCGTTAAGTCCAAGTGAAACATGTCGCCACAGGCTTCAGGTAACGTGGTGTTGGCCTTTAATGCCGCTTGTTCTACACTAAAGGCCCTAATTCGTTTATAACCTTTGTACACTGCTGATAAGAATTGGACAGACGGTCTTTCTCTGCTAGTGTCCGAGAATATTTCGGAGCTTAAGTTAATCGAGCCCGCCACGACGGTCTACATAACAAACCTTGGTTACTTGGATTGAATACAGAGTTATACTAGAATAAATTTTCTGCTATCAAATATGGCGCCACAGGTACGCTTACAGGGGACCAGTCCCCATGACACTGAATAAGAGTAATATGGAGAAACCTACAATCTTTATTAGAAAATTCCTGCTGGCTCCCAGTAAAATAAGGTCAGATGGGTAGGTAAGCAGAAGGCCAAAGCGGTACATGCGAGCGAAAAAGGAAGTCTGGTTGGCTAAAATTTACGGGAAGTGGGAAGTCATGAGACACAGGTACAGTTTACAGGCTGCTACAACCAGTTCCGTGCACCGGCGCTAGGTGATCATCAAGGATGGAGACGATCAAGGATAACAAAAGTACCATAATTCTCAATTATCGATATCCCGTAGCGCGAAATGTACAGCAATATCAGGGGCAGTCTAGCTGAATTTCTGCGGGTGAACCACTTTGCTTTCAGATGCTTCGGGCTCAATCATGACGGGTTAATTCTCAGACTGCTTCTAAAGCTGAAGTTCGAAATAGCATCATATATCTTAAGTAGTTCCACGGTGTCTGTCGGGATTCATTTGTCTACTCACCATTCCGGGTGGAAGAAGCTCTCCTGCAAATACGTAGCGCCTAGCAAGCGTTACCCCTTTAAAAAATAACATAAGTTTGTTTAACAACATTGCGACGTGGCGGCTGTGACTCGCCAATAAATAGTCACTAACCCTTGCTTATTCAGCCGACTTTCCGCACTTCATGGACGTCAGTACTGCAAGTAAAAGCTTTTCTATGAACACTATCACGCCGACGACCTGACTGAATGCAATCCGAAACGCAGCGACACATTAATATAGTTAAGCACACATCTGCGTAAACTAATACCTTCATGCACTCTTATACACATCCGCATGAAGAGCTAGGATTTACCCGGTACTTTTGCAACATAGTTGTGCTATTATGCTTCAATCGTGTTTGTATTGCCACGAGCAGGCCTGCTCAGGTGTGCTACGCACTGTCGAGAATAAACAATCTGTTTGTTTGTTTATTTTAAGTGAGGATTAAGGGATTTGCACAACTAACTGGAGCAAGTGCAGCCCAGCTATAATGTTTGACGGGGCCTTTAAATTGGCGTTGCATGTTCACGTAACATTGCCCTTACGTTATCTGCTGCGCAGTTATCAGATTTCTTATTAAACTTTTTGTCATTCTCTTCAGTTAGACTAGTTACAAGGTTACTAGGGCTGTTCTTCGCCGATTTTTGAAAATGGACGTCGAGACACTGCGCGTATTGGGCGAAGTTGTCAGATGGCGTTTAGCAATCTAAGCAACCTTCCTCCAGATGGATAAACTGGATTTCGAAACAGTACCATCAACCTGATGCAGATTCGGGACATTTATTCGAGTACCACTGATACTTCTAACGCCATTTTTCTAAACATCCGTAGTGGATAGTATAAAGTGCTGAAAATGTGCCTACTCAAATACATGACGCTTATATCGACTACAATTGACTTAATAATGTTCAACAAGCGCAGTCGCAGCTGTCGAGCTTCACACCTTGATATCTGTCTACAAAATTGAAGGGCAAAGACACAGGCCCTCACTGTCGACCGCAGCCTTACTGCAGCTCGACAATCAAGAACGGGCGAATAGCGCGCTGTCGACTATAAGGAATCTGCACACACTGAGTTTTATTCCACGTTCAGTGCAGCGGAATGGTCACAATGAGTCACAGTCTTGTGGCAACCTGGATATCCCCTTGTTTGTCTGGGTGCGATGGGTAAATATTATAAAAATATGGTTGTACGTTGTACCTAGGCAAAGGGGAAAACTTGAGTGTTAGAACGTTGATTATGTGTGATTAGATCAACCACACGGATCAGACTTCGCGTGCTTCCGATCTTCCGCTTCGAAGAGTGCTCGCAACGTCTGCTGTGACGGCCATACTTCTCCCCCAACCTAGAACAATTTGTGGTGTCCTTTAGTTAGCAGGATACTAGGTTTCGACATAAAATCTATATATCGCATATTTGTTTGTATTGTTCCTATTTTCCCTACCTCGTGCCAAATCTGGATTTGTATCGACCGAGCGACTGCGCTATAGTCTAACACTCGATAAAAAGGGAGCGCTCCGCTAAGGTGACAAATCTGTTCCTTTCAGTATACTTGTCCACAAATGTATTCGCTTGAAACATATAAGTATTTCGCATGCCTCCTTTCTGGAAACCTTCGGTCGGATACCGGTCTATACCGAAGTTTCCTTCTTCCCTTCTTCAACGTATGCGACACTCCATTTGAATGTGATGTCCAATACAGCCTGCTCTCCAGTGGAGTCTCACAATGTAAGGACTAAGGTATTGCAAGAAATTTACTAATGATTATGTAGTATGTAGGTAATCCCAGATTGAAGCTCGACAAATCCGTGTTAGCACCTGAAAAAATTACTAAAATCTCTGACGCGGCCATTAACTTCGACTCACACTGTCTTGGTTACCAATGAAAGATTTATGGTCAGCACAGGTAGTTACTTAGTTTGAGCAGCAGGGATAACCCGACCGTGCTGTTCCGCTGTGTTTCGTGTGTTGCATGTTGTTAGGGGAAGACCAATATTTTGTCACGTCGATAGAGTAACCAGCGGCACCATTCCCTCTGATCAATCCCCGAAAACAGTCTTCTGGTGAGGAACCGGTAGCCCCTTCCTATGTTAGTAGCGATTGCATGAGCAGCTATCAACTCACGTTCAAGCAGTTTAAAATATTTCTCAAATGGCTGGAAGTGGAATTGCCGGGCTGTTTTAAATCAACTGAATCCTTGCATCAACCTATCTAGCGTGGATGAACCGAAGCAACAAACTTGCATCACAGGTGCAAGAACAGTTTCCAAAGAGCGTTGTGTGAACTTTCTACACTTTTCACACTGTGCGGACATGGGTAGATTGCACACGTATCAGCCAGTGCTATTCAGCAGCATTTCACTCAAATCTTCGGGATCACAATGCATCCCACCTCATTCCTTGCATAGGTCATGTCTTCACTCGGACTTGACAACACCTCCATTACGAGCGCAGATTCTCTGATCGGCCTGCTCCGGTTTTACACCGTGCTGTCGTGCTCAGCTCGGATTTCCTACCACATTTCTCATCTCACACATGCTTGCTTACGCTCATTTGATCCAGCTAAACCAGCGCTGTTTAGTCCATCCCATATTTTGAATCTAGACTGTGCTGATCACATTTTAGCTACATGACGTAATTTTCGCAACCTTCCCGCAGAATCACACGCGCGTCACGTGTCGAATCCCGAGCCACGGACCTTTATTTGTCATCTAATAGGGAAGCCAACTCCCTGGTCTATAAGATGAGTTATCAATCACAGATGTCGACTGCCAACTGAAGAAGCTATCGGGAATTTTGTTTCCTGTATCGCTCAGTCGCTTTGTGTACACCGCTGTGTGAGTTCCGAGTGAACGGGTCAGTCACTTACACCTGCTCTGCAAGCCCTGTGATGTGTCACATGCTACAGCCGTGCTAACCTCGGATAACCAATTCAGTGCGCAAGATACAGGAAGGTAGCTGAGCCCGCCGATCTTTGTTACAGTCGAACAATCAGCCACTGACCGTAAAGGTATCGGTGGATAGACACGCTGCGCGAGTACCTGTAACGATCGACCAAATGAAGCTAAGTTACTGCGCACAGAATGAAAGTAGTAACTGGCACTCGTGCATTCCAGGAAACGACACGAACAGGGATCATGCGTTGAAACCGCTAAATAGTGTTCCATTCCATGTGTATTACGCCTACAGAAAACCAGGTGAAACTTTACCATGGCAGACCATGTTCTCCTTGGCTCTGTACACTATGTGTACACCCATTTGAGATGATTTACTTGAACAAGCTTAGAAATACAAAATACTTATGGTAACGATTGAACAAATGAGGAACATGAAAGTGTGGCAGAGCCTAGGCGTTAGTCCGTCCCAAGTGGTCCC